TTCAGAAAAGATGAGAAAACGTACCTCTTTCTTTCTTTGCTGAAGTGGGAGACGATGAGCACGGATCATTGCTTACTGGTGGGTAGGAAAAGGGGAAGGGACATATTTGTAAATGAAAATCATGTAATCAACAAAGTCAGGATAGGGATAGGAAGCAGACCTGTGATTTTCTAGGTATAAGAAACTCCAGGATGAGGCAACCCCTTCCCAATGCAGGTTGGTACCTTCTTGGCAATGAGATAATGGCCTAGAGCATTGAGAGGTTGAGCGACTTGTCTAGAGTCACAGCCAGTATGTGTCAGATGGGGCTTGAATCTGGGTCTTCCTGATTCCAAAGGCTGGATTGCAGCAGCCACACACCAGCTTTCACCTTCTCTCTTTCCAATCTGTGCCCCTCCTTGGGCAGCCTGTTGTACCCGGCTCTCTGGGGGCTCTCGGTAGTCATGCCAGACTTAGTGCAGATACTCAATTGGCTCAGACCTCCTGAGCTCAAGAGATTCAACCAGCCACAGCCCGGGATTACAGGCATGGGCCACTACTCCATCATTTTACAGGTGAGGAAACTGAGGCCTAGAGAGGTGAAATGACTTTTCTAAGGTCACAAAAATATCATGTAATATTGCCTTGCTCTATTGGGCCATATGACTCTAATGACAGATTCTGTGCTGTTCCTCCTGCATAATTCTTCCTTGTTCATGTGTTTTAGTCTATTCATTCCCACCATGAGCTTGTCCATTGCCCTTTGGGTGATACTCAGCTTTAATTCTTCAGAGACTATGGTATTTCATGATAGGCAACATATGACATTACCAAAAGAATATTCAGTTAACAAGCATTTGGGATTATTAAAAGGACTACAACTTCCCAAAGACAATCCAACCCACTGCCCTCCATATGTTCAACTCTGACCCCACCTGTCATATTTTAATGTCTATCAATCTTCTGCTCAAGAAATTTCAATGGTTCCCTTTGCTTCTAGGATATAATGGTTGTCATTTAAAGCCCTCCCCATTAAAAGAACGTCTGACTTCTGGAAGAAGCCATTGAAAATGAAATGGCTCCCTAGTGTTGAACTGGATTTTTCTCCATTTTGTGGTCTCACATCATCTCTTACAATCCTCAGATGTTGTTGAGTTCAGTTGACGAGCCAGTCTCAGAAACTAAGAGCATTGTTATATGAGGGAAAACTTTTGTTTTAACAGAAAGAAAAGAAATATATCATTTGTACTTACTCCTTAATAAGTATATCATATTTAAAACCTATAATTTTTTCTGACTTTTAAAATATAAATACCTTCCTCACCTCCTTCCCTGAAAAAAAACAACAGTTAATTGACTAGAGAAATTGTCCACTCACATGGACATGTTAGTTAGGATCTATTAACTTTTTTACTATGTAAAATTCAATTTTCTTGACTTGAATAAACATGGAAATCTAGCGTCTTGGGTGGCTTTAAATTTAAATACAAAGGGATCTATTTTCATAGATGAGACAAATCAATAAATGACTAAATCTAAGAGCATGCAGAAGGACTGTGTTTTGGGACACTTTTTCTCAATGACTTAAGGGCAAGCCTTCGATATTGGTCTGGAATGCCAAATGTACTAGGCACTCTAGTTCTTTGATTATATCTATGAATTGGGAGATGGTGTAGTTTAATAAAAAGAGTACTAGATTTGGAATCAGGACCCAGTTTCAAATCCTGGCTCTGTTTCTGCCTATTTGACTTTGGGCAAGTCTTAGCTTCTCTCACTTTCTAATGACTCTTCTAGAAAATGATGAGGTTGAACTAGATGGTCTGTAGGCGTCTCTTCTGGGCCGGCTTTTCTTTTCTCTCTATGTTCTTCTAGTGATCTCATATCAGTCCCCATGGGTTCTCTATATAGCCAGACTTTATCACTCTGCTGATCTCTAGGTCATCACAACTACCTCCACTTGAATATCCCATCAACATCTCATGGTTAACATGTCTGAAACAGAAGTCATAATCTCATGAAATTCACCCCTCTTCCTAATGTCCCTGTGTCTATCAAAGGCACTACCATCTTTTCAGTCAGCCTGGTTTGCTTACTCAGAATTATTCATGATTCTTCTCTCTCTCTCTCTCTCTCACTCCCTCCACATGTATCCAGTTCTCAAGGTTTATAGATTCCCCATAGTATCTCTGGCATATCTCTTCTCTCACCTAACCACAACTCTAACATAGGTCTTCATCAACTGTCACCTAGAAAGTGGGACCATAACTCCTCCAGTCTCTCTTTTCTCCAATCCATCTACCACACAGCTAGCAAAACAATAGCCTTGAAGCACAGTTCTGACCATTTCTATCAATCTTCTGCTCAAGAGATTTCAATGGTTCCCTTTGCTTCTAGGATATAATGGTTGTCATTTAAAGCCCTCCCCAATCTGGCTCCAATACATCGTTCCAAATTGATTTCATGATCCAACCAGCTCAGCCAATGTGGCCTTAATATTCCATATTATGTATATGGAATATTATATAGATAAGACATAATAGTTCATCTCACTGCTGCCTGCCTGGCCATAGACTCATACTTGGAAGGCTGTTCCTCCTCACCTCTGCTCCTTTCAAGTTTCTGCCAAGGTGCCACCAGCTTCATGAATTCTATTTATTTTGTATTTACTTATCTAAGTATACGTCCTTTCCTCACAGAAGAACATAAGCCGCTCAAGGTCAGAGACTGTTTCTTTTTGTCTTTCTGTCCCTTGCTCCTAGCACAGACCATGGCACATAGAAAGTGCTTAATAAATCCTTCTTGAATTGAATTGAAGGTCTCTTCCAGTTGGAAAATCCCATCATCCTTAATTACTTCATTTTGAAATTTGGCCACTGCCACGTACTTTTCGTTCTCCTTTTGCTAAAAAGCACCTAAAAAAGCACCCAGCCCACACTAAGCTTATGAGTTGTCAGAATTTATACTATCACAGGCTTCTAGACCTGGTCTCTCTTTCACTTCTGAATTTATGGCGCATAGAAGCATCTTTACTTCTCCACCAAAGACCTTGATATTGGGGTAAATAAAATTCAAATGTTGAGACTTTTAAGAATGTAATTTCTCAGGAGCTGTAGTGTGGGGGGTGGGAGAATCCACCTTCTTCCTCTCTAGCTCCTGGAACCAATGTACAACCCGCTTTGCTTTCACCCTGTATTCCCAGCAGTTAGTACAGTGTCTGAAACATAGCAACTAATAAAAGCTTATTGAAAATGATGATTGTGAAGAAGTAGAAAAAGAAGAAGATGGCAATGAGGAGGATGATGATGATGATATAGGACCCAGGGTCTGACCAGACACCAGGTCTGGATTTCCCAGATGGTCATATGGGGCCATTTAGGTTGTCCCTCCAATATGTTTTGTGGCAGAGTTCCAAAATGTCAAGTAAGAAGCCAACATTTCACAGCTAATGTTATTGTATATCCCAGCAGTGTGACCACCCAGTAATGAGATGAACCCTAATGCAACAAATGTATATCACTTGGAGTGAGAGTTTTCCATTGGACTCCAGATTCAAATTTGATCCAAATTTGAAAAAAAAAAAAATCCCAGCTGAATGAGGACATGCAGATTTAATCTCAAGCCTTGACATTTGCATCAATACCTTGGACTCAAAGATTTCACTTTCATCCATCCCATCCGTGTTTGGACTCTACAAAACTCCCAAGCAATATTAAATTTGGGAGATTCTCAACCCCTTTAGAAATGGGATCTTATTCCTGGCCTTGTGATAAAGGAAACTAATTAAATAAAACTCTCCACATAGCCATGACAAAATATAGAAAATGAAACTTCTCCCAGATGGTCTCTCCAGAAGCCCTGGGGCAGTAAAAGAATGTTCTCTCTTCTCCCCCCACCCCACCCCCACCCCTATCTCCAGCATGTGCTATTTTAAAATCCCCCATGGCTGCACGTGGCTGCAAGCATTTAACTGTTATAGAATATTCTTGTTTGTAAGGTTAGACTTCCTGCCTCTCCCCTCCCATGGCTCCATAGAAAGATGCTATCCTAGAAGAAGTACTCTTGGAATCCATCCCTTGTCCACCCCAAAAGACATTTCAGTGGTGATTAAAAGAGATGCATTATTATTCATTCTAGGGACAGCTACCTTTTTATTCAAGGCTCCAGTCAGAGTGCCTCTCCCAACCACTCTCAGGATCAGACGTTGGTCGAGGACACTCCATTCCAGTCCCACCCCCCCCCCCACCGTCCCCCTCCCCCCATACTCTAGTGACCATGCCCATTCCGAGTGGGGGAGGGTGGCGGTGGGGGGAGAATCTGGGCAAGTGTCGTTCCATTCCAACTGTGCATCTGTCTCTTTAAATATAAAAAAAAAAAAAAAGCCTCCTTTCCGAAGCTGTAGAGAGAAGGTGCTAGAACTGTGTCCGATCATGCCTGGAAAGCAGGATCCCTCCTCAGTGCCTGCTGAGTCCTCCCAGCACAAGAGAGAGAGGCGGCTGGGTAGCAGCCCGAGCAGGCTGTAGGCAGGACGGACGGTGATGCCACCCCAGCAGCTGTCTCAAATCCAAGCCGCCTGAGAGAAGCCTCCTGCAAGGGGATGAGGCAGAGTCTCGCTTGTATGTTCACAGCCGCCAGCATCCTCCCCAGTAGGCATGGACATGACATTTTTAAAGGGAGCCTCCGGTTGCAGCGTCTTAAGCAGACGGTCTTGAGGCATCTGTACGTTGCCTTGGCTTTTTCATCCCTCCTTCCTTGGGCATTGATGTAATTCTGGAGGCAAAGGGGGAAAAAATCCTGCCAGGGATTCCGAAGGCATCCCACTAGCGATCAGCTGACATTTCTAACTGAAGGCTGCAATGTGCTCCTTATTCATTTTGGACTGTGGGAGCTGCAGGGACTAGGCGAGAGAGCTAAACTATGCATTTCAAACAGCAGTGCTTGTGCAGAAAGAGGGGTGAGCGAGAGGTGGCCGGCGAGGAAAGAGCAGAGCTGGACTTTCTCCTTGTTTTTATCCATTTCTGCAGGAGCATGTATTCATAAGGGATGAGGTGGGCCACAGGGATTCCAGGCCTGAACTGCGGCCTACCCAGTCAGTCCAGAGTCAGGCCCTTCACTACCGGAACCGAGAGCGCTTTGCCACTATCAAATCAGCATCTTTGGTAAGCAGACACCCCCCTGCCCATCTTCCCCTTCCCTCCCCTCCTCCCCATCCCTCAAGCCCTCTCTCTCCCTCTTTCATGGGTGGGGAATAGGATTCAGGAATTGGGGGTGGGGGGTGGGGGAATCTTCCTGCTAATAATCTTTTTTAATTTAAAAAAAAAAAAAGATCTGTTGGCATAGCAACTGTATTTTAGCTTGGTATGTTACATGGGAGAAAAACCTTTGTGTGTGTGTGTGTGTGTGTGTGTGTGTGTGTGTGTGTGTGTGTATGCCATATGTGCCGAATAAAATGCCTTTGGGGTGAAGTTGGTATTCTTTCAGATTTTCCAAAAGCCATTGCCTTTTCATTGAGTGAAATAATAGCAGGGAAACGATGGCTTTTTTTAGAGGCGGATGTACATGTGTGCAGTGTACAATGTTTCTTTGGTATACGTGCATGTGTGGGGCTATATGTATTTTAAAAACACTGAACTAAAATGTAAAATAGGATTTTTGGTTTTTTTAAATCAGTGATTGCCAATGCATCCGATTGCAGAAAATGAGACACTTGCTCCCCAGGGTTGGATGGCTAGCTCTTTATGGTTCATTCATTCATTTATTTATTGCAACAGCGCTATCAACTGTATTTCTCCATTTTAACCCCTTCTACAATTTTCTGGCACCAGTAAAACACGAAGGTCTTTGTAGGGAGGGATTGGGCTGGTTACCAAGGGAAAGAGACGGGGCCGGGTTCTTCAGCATTTTTACTATTGCAAATGTGATTGCTGGATGCCCTTGTAGTAAGAAAAGGGGTGTGTGCTGGAAGAGTTAGTTTTCATGCCTCCTCCCCTCATCCCCCCCCACGCGTGCGCACGCACACACACTCACACACACACACACACACTCACACACACACGTACTCACATCATCCGAGCCTTGACATGGGAAACTCTGTTTAATCTCCTGCTTTGGATTCAAGGCTCTAAAAGGGGGAATTATAAAACAAGAGCTCTGTTACCCAAATTGATGCTAGAGGTCACATGGGCGAGAAGAGTTAGTGTCCACTGCTTGGCTATCAGATTTAGAACCTATGATGACATCATCTGAGGCCGACCCAGAAATTACCGTTTTTTTCTTGTCCTTTCTAAAAGACCTGATTCCCCACCCTGATTGTATTCTAAGCTTGAGGGATTGTTGAAATTGACAATGGTTTCTTAGATCTTAAAGAGCAGATTGCTTGCCAGGATACGTGTGTATGCGTGTGTATGCGTGTGTGTGTGTGTGTGTGTGTGTGTGTGTGTGTGTGTGTGT